CCCTCTTTAACCCCTTCACTCCCACTGCGTTCAACTCCGCAGGCACCGTCCGCGGGGATCCCCCAAGCCCCTTTACTTTAGCTTCTGGCTGCTCTCTTATCTCCACTTTTTTCTTTCCCGCAGTCATCTAGGAGAAGTTCTATTCGGGAGAAATAATTTTCTTCTTCCCTGTCTTGACTTCTCCTTGGAGATTTCTGCCTAAAAGTGTCCTTCCCTGACCAAAAGAGGCCAGACTTCTCACCCTGGGAAGCGCTCCAACTTCGGGTCAGAGCAGAGCTCCCCGCTATACCTTTCCAGTAGCACTTAACAAAATCCTGATTATTTTATTGGAATAGCAGTTGTTTTAGGTTTGTCCCTTGCGGTGGACTGTAAGCCGTAAGAGGGCAAATCAGACGCGCTTTGGCTTCCAGTACCCCGCACCCACCCACTAGACTTCTGATGAGTGAATGAGATGCTCCTCCCCGCCCTTAACGTGTGTCCTCTCCAGTCACTCCACACACAGCATCTACTGTGTAATGCTTATATTTTGTCACCATATACTCAGCTTACATATATGCCTGACCCTAAAATATTATGGTGTTCATTCTTCCTGGGATACGATTTGTATGGGAAGGATGGGGCCTAAGCAGGCATTTCTTTCAAGAAGGGAAAAAAACGATCGGACTTTTTTCCCCCCTCCCTGCCTGTATGCGATAGTAGGTATGCCGTTTAACATCTCTTGAGTATAAGGTTCCTTGGAAAATGGCAGTTAATCACAGTACCTTCTTCACAAGACTGCTGTGAGGTTTAAATAGGAAATGTGTGCAGAAAATACATTATTGTGTGAAGTTAGGTGTTATTCGTGTGCATGTTGAGCACTTTCAAGATCAGGAGATCCAGGGAAGTTGTTATTGGACTTGACACCCAACCCTAGACAACCTAGTGAGAGAAAGAGGCCTTAATCACTGGAAGGAGTACACAGGTCAGCACAGAAGGCACCGTGTCAGCCTTTTACTAGGGGTTGAAAAGGTTTGCGGTCACTATCTGACTGTGGGATGCACAATTTGGGGGGGGGAATTGGATGGTAATGAGAATCTGCCTTATTTCCCAACCGGAACATGGGTCTGCTTGCAGTCGGCCCTCCTTCTCAGACACATGCAACAAAAGAGGAAGTAAACAGTTCCCTCAAACACTGCACCCAAAAGTGTCCCTTCTTCTCTGTCATCCTGATGACACTGAGGATGGACTCCGGCCCTCACTACTGGGGGAAGGCTGGCTCACCAGAAGCCTAGTCTCTGAAGGAGGTGGTCCAGGGAGACAATCCATTCAGGTACTTAACTTCACGACCATCCCACAGACTGCAGTAAAAACTCTTCCTCAGAGGGTTCAGAATCTCTGTGTCAATGCTTTCACCCAGAACAACTGGTCTGTCTCTCGGTTTTCCTGTCACCAGCCTACATGTCTCAGGCTCTCTGCGGCTGCATGCATGGCACCAGTGCTGTGCCTGACAGACACTCCATGGCATCCCCAGGCCTGTAACAGCACACACAGGCAATATATTCTCAGTGTTGTGAGGGATGTGATCATCTGAATACGAGTGACTAGCACACAGGAAGCAGCTGCAAGGAAGACAGACCACCTAAATTATGCATCGCAGACTGTGAATCAGAGTCTGGGAGGAGTGTGGGCTGGAGTTGTCAGGGAGGAAGGATTGAGGTGAGCAAAATATGGGTGGGAGCAGAGAATAACAATATGAACCAAAGCTGTGCAGTGTTATGAGAAGTTATAAGTGATATCCTGGGCAGATAATACAGGGCAGACGTGTTCATTCATTCGTTCATTTGTACATCCATTTATCTACTGGATATATGAGTGCCAGACATCAGACTGAACTTCGACGATGCAGAGATGAACAGGGCCCTGGCCCCATCTCCAAGAAGCCTTCAGGCTCGGTGGAGTTCCTTCCAGAAATCAGAGAACTTGTAGAGTTGTATTCCTTTCCCTGGTCATTCGATGTGCTGTGGTTTTAAGTATCTAGCTAATCTCCTCTTGGCCTTTCTCTCCCCTGCCCCAAGACTGCGAGCTTCTTAAAGCCACAGACTGTGACTTTATGTAATGGAGGGCCTTCTCCAGTGCACATGTTCATTGAGTTGAAACCAGAGCAGGAAACAGGTTGTCCCTTTCCCACGGAGAGCAGTGGACCACTCTCAGCAGAGAAATAGTAGTGGAATACTACCAGAGGCTAGCCTGTGGCCCGCACAATTCACCAGGACCCTTTGTGCTTGGCATATACAGTTCCAGCATACCTCTCTAGTGCATTCCTTAAACTCTTCCCAACAGGGTGTACCAGTGCTTCTTTCTCAGCCAGTGAGACTCCCTCCTCCATGACCCAGCCTCAGGAGTGCTAAGCATCTCTCCTGCCATTTGGCCTTTCATGGGCTTTCCAGCTGTGTGGCCTTTCCTGAACCCCTTGGGAGCCTTGACTGGACCCTCTGATGGTGTAGTTTATTGAGGCTTTGCAGGATTTCTCTGTCACTATTCCCATGGGTACAAAGCCTTGCAATGCCAAAGAAAGTGTTGTGTTGATTTCTGTGTCTTCCGTAGCATCAGCATTGTACATGGATGTAGAAGGAGAGCCCTCAGAATACTCAGTCTAGGAGCCTGGGGAGAGAGTGGCAAGGAAGATTAGGGAGCGATGAAGCACACACACAATCTGCCATTCCCTGCCATCTCAGCTGCCTCTGGGAAGTCTTGTTCTCTGCAAGCAGCTCTCCCTGGACAGTAGCTTCTACCTTTCTTTCCCTACAGAACGGATGCCTTTCTTTCATTTTAATACCACCTCTGCAGAATTGCTCTCAGCCTTCTCCTTTCTGATGGCAGTAAACTGCCTGCCTGATCCTTCACAGGGCACCTCTACCGACACCACCTGAGCAAGTCGTTCATGTCCCAGGGTAGCATGGTGCGCTACCTACAAACACAAAGGCAGCTTCTAGCTTGTGACAATCAGGCCATGTGCTCCGAAAGAGGTAGAAATCTTCCAGTTATGTTTTCTTACCCTTGTAACACTTGTTAAAGAGCTGCGTTATTGAGATATAAGCTTTAAACATACAATTCACTGCCTTTTAGTATATTTACAGAGTTGAGTCAACATTATTATACCTGGATTTTAAACTATCATCCCTCCCAAGATAGTATGGACCATTTTCTCTCATTATGAAATCTATCTAGCTCTATTTTTAAAATATGCACATTAAAGCAAAAAAAAAGAGGAAAAACAATAATAAGAGAGTGAAAGTCTTCAGAGGACTGTAGCTGTTACAGCTGTGATTCCCTTAACTGCCCTGTGTAGCAACAGAAGTTTAATAACAAAGCCACATACTATGTTGGGGTGTGCAGTCCAACAATTTCCAGGGCCACATCTTTGAACACATTCCAATTTGTTGTGGCTCTCTCTAGTGCTACATATTGGCTCTTCTGCAGTTTGAGCAGAGACGATTCTACAATCCAGTTCTCAAAGGCAGCAGCTCTGTAATATGGCAAAGACAGCACCACATTCCCTGAGTAGTTCACTTAATATCTTCTGTGTATTTGTAGAGGAAGCAAAGAAGCTCTTTGTTTTTGTTTCTGTTTTGAAACAGGGTCTCCCTGTGTAGCCCTGGCTAACCTAGAACTCACTATGTAGACAAGGCTGGCCTCAAACTCACAGAGATCCACCTGCCTCTGCCTGCTGCCTCCATGCCTCACCTAAATGCTTTAGTTTTTATGAACTCAGTTTACTGCATGAAGTAGTTACAGTTACATGGACGTTCTGGTTTTTTTTTTTTTTTTACCTTTCTTCAAAACCAGGAAGCCTCTACCATGAACAGTAACATGGCCCAGTCTCTCTTATGGACCCTCTGGAATATTCTAGAGCTGCTATTCTCCAGCAGGCTGCATAGGCAGTCAAAATATCTTTACACCTGCCTCATACTCAAAGATTGGAATTTAAATATCATGGGTCAGATCCTAGAAGGATTTTTTCAAATTCTAAGTTTATTCTGCCCTGTAACCAAAGCTGGCACTCATTGTTTTACTAATGACTAAGCCAGGATCATATTCCTAGGCTGGATTGTACAAGGGTGGCATCTTTATAGGACAAAGATAAGTTGAACTGGTGATTTTATATATAATGCAAGCTAATTATGGGTGATTGATTTCTGGTTTGAGTTCAAGTAGGTTGGCTTTTGGAAGGCCTTCTACAAGAAGCCAAACATTTCTCTCTAGATAAA